GCGGAGCCGGGGGTCCCCGGCCCGGCGCGCAGCCCGGGGCGCAGAGGGTGTACAAGCAGTCGATGGCGCAGAGGGCGCGCACCATGGCCCTCTACAACCCCATCCCCGTCCGCCAGAACTGCCTCACGGTCAACCGCTCCCTGTTCCTCTTCAGCGAGGACAACGTGGTGAGGAAATACGCCAAAAAGATCACCGAATGGCCATATCCTTTCTGCCCGCGCCCCGGCGACGGCCGAGGGACCCGGGGGCTGATGGGAGCCGGAGAGGGGCGCGGGCCGGCCAGGCGGGCGTCCGTGCGCCCGGGCCGGGCTAGCGGCTGGGAGGCCGGGGAGTGGGCCGGGGGCCGGGGGTGAGAGAGCAGAGACCTCAAGCACCTTTCCAGGGCCAGGTCTGGGCCCCGGGGTGGACAGGGGCTGTTCTGGGGGCCTCAGCCTGCTCCCGAGGGTCTGAGTTCTCCGGGGTGATCCTGGACCGCGCCAGGGCCTGGGCGCTTCTGGCCCCGGGGCAGGGAGCCATGGGAGTCCTGGCGAGCTTTTCTGGGCCGCTCTCACCCATCATGGTTGGCCTGGGAGCTGGACCTGGTTCTCCATCTCTACCTTCCCCAAAGTGGGGGCCCCATGCTCAGAGCAGGGCCAGGAGCCCACGGGGACCACTGTTTGGCCTTCCTGGGGAGAAGCCAGTGTGGGCAGAGTACAACCCTAGGTGGCCTGACCTGGAGAGGGTCGTGTCCAGCTTGTGTGTGTGTGTGGTGGGGGGGCCGCTTATTCCCTGTCTTTTCAGCCAGAAATACACACTTCCTCGGCTTTTGGGATGCAAAGAAGCAGACCATTTGCCTTATCGGGTATGGCCGGCCTGGGAAGACCTAATCTGGTTGATTTCAGTAAGAAAGACTGAAAAGCAAGAAAAAATGAGGTGCTGAGCCCTTCCTTAGGGGGCTTGGTCCTTTGTGGGGGTTCATGTCCGGCCTTGGGTTGAATTCAGTTTCTCCCACCTTGGGGAGCTGGGAGGGGACCCCAGGAGAATCAGCATCCATCTGGGCATCTCTGGCAGGTAAAAGCCTTGTTCATTTATTTATAAATAAGCCCGAGATTTAGAGGAGAAAGTGAAAAGCAAATCCTTCTCTACTGAGTTGGTACCTGAAGGCAGGTCCCCGGTTCCTTTACGTCGGTGACTGCTCCCCAGGAAACTGGAAGAGGGCTCTGCACCTCACAGATAGAGGCAGCAGGGTGGGTGATTATTGGGCTTTCTGGAAGTTATCTAAGCATGACCCAGATTTCGAGTGGGGGGGACACACCCTGCTCCCCAGGCTGGTTGTCCACCAGACCATGCCTGAAGGTGCCGCTTTCGGCTTAGTTTCAACCAGCTGCTTTTGGTGTAGAAATGAACAGGCTGGACTGGTCCGTGGGGCTCACCGCTGGGTCCCCTGTCCCGTTTCTGTGTATGGTTTCCATTCTTCTTTTCCACAGGGCTGGGCCCTTTTCAGTCTTGTGGTCGCTATTTCAGGAGTGGTGGCTGATGGCTGGATTGACTTCTCGGGGGACTTAAAATTGTGGGCTTCCGGGTGTTGAGATTGTAGCGGGGGGACATTAGGTCTTGGGGTGTGTATGGTCTGCTTTGAGAATATGACCATCAAATTTAAGCAGAAGTCCTTGTTTTAGGGCGAAGTAAACCCCTAACCACAATGTCATGTCCATCGGGGTGTCTAAGACAGGCGCCAGATCTTTAGCTCCTAAATTCCAGCCTCATGAGAGGCTGTGCCTGACAGAAGGATCCTCCTCCTGCACCACACCAGGCCTGGGAAGCACTCACTGCCCACCATCCCCCCAGTGAGTGCTGGGGGGCCTAGAGGTGCTCGAGGCGTCTACTTGAGCCCCGTGGGTGGCTCTGGGGTCTTCCAGGCCGAGTGCCTGGGCTGACAGGTCTCTGTGTTGAAAATGGCTTTCTATCCACCCTCTGGAGCAGAGCCTGGGCTCGAGTCTTCTAGCAGGAAGGGACGGAGGTGGGAGCCTTCTGTGTGTCCTGAGCTCACCCCGGCCAACGGAGGCCCTGCAGATCGCAGTGCTGCTAGTGGTGGGGGGGCGCAGTGGCCGCTCCCCGGGAGGACATGGGGGAGATGCAGGTGGACGGCAGCCTGGCTGATCTCTGGCTAGCTTGCCTGAGGCTCTCTTACTCTTGGTAGCTTTGTGATGAGTTGTGTTTTTTTTTTCCTCTGCAGAGTTTTTGTTCTCTGTTTGGCCTGAGGTAACAAACACATTATACAGCCCCACTCCAAGAGGGAGAGCTCCCCACCCCATTCCCGATCTGTCACCCGGCCAGGTCACCCAGCCAGCAGCCAGCAATCTCTGGGAGGGAGATCGAGGGAGGAGAGACAGGGACCTGGGATGGCTGCATGGAAGGATTCAGGCCGGCAGAAGGAGGTGAGCTGGAAATGCTGAGGAGTCGGGACAGCAGGGCAGAATGTGAACTTTCAGTCCGAATATGTGGGCATTTATAAACACGCATCTAAATATTGATTCTGTCTTAGAGCAGAGTCTGAAATATGTACGGGCAGCACACAAGTTGGGCCCAGCTTCCAGTGTAGCTCCCAGCCCCAGGACAGAACAGGAGCAGGGCCCCAGGAGCCTCCCTTGCCTTGCCCTGGTTGCTCTCTGGACTAGGGGACCGGCTTCCTGACTTTGTTTCGTTTCGCTTCCATTGTCATAGAAATGGACTGACACCATATGTTCTTTCATGTCTGGCTTCCTGTGAGAGGCATCAACATTGCTGTAAGCATTTAGAGGTTTTCCCTTCTCTTTTTTTGTATTATTATTGTTGGTATTGTTGTTGTTGTTATTACTATTATTGTTATTATTATTTTGTGGTACTGGGGATCGAACCCAGGGACTTCACACCGAACTCCATTCCCAGCCCTTTCAAAATTTTTAAATGTTGAGACAGGGTCTTGCTAAGTCACTAAATTGCCCAGGTTGGGCTTGAGCTTGGAATTCTCCTGCCTCAGCCTCCCGGAGTGCTGGCATGACAGGTGTGCACCACCACCACATCCAGCTTGTGTAGCATTTCCTTGTGTGACTCCCTACAGCCTATTTATCCATCCTACCATTGAGGGCCGTGTGAATGGTTCCCAGGTGTGCCGCCCGGGACATTCTTGGGCCTGGCTTTTGTTGACTCGCTGTACCCCCTTGTTTCTCTTGGATTTGTCCCTAGGAATGGCATCGCCTCTGCTGCCTTCTGATGATGTGTTGTCAGGATGTGCTTGGAAATGGGGTTCACCCGGGCTGCAGGCAGAGCAGGAGTGAGTGAACATGGGTGTCTGCTCGCAGACCGTGGAGTGTGACTTCCAAGTGGCCGTTCCCAGGCATTGAGTGCTGAGGAGGGCCTGGCCCTGGTTTCTCTCCACTCAGGGGCAATGTGATGTTCTGATCCCTTTCTCTTCCATGCCCCGAGGCTCAAGCTTGAGGCCGGCACTGGGAATTAAGGGTTTTCATTCTGGATTTTTGTCCGCTTCTAAAGTAAGCAAACTGAAGCGCAAGCCTTTGTCCTTCCAAGCTCGCATTGTTACCTGTTTCCTTGGAGGGTGCCAGGCAGCAGTGCCCGGCCAACACAGCTGCTTCTGTTTCCCTGCATTGCAAGTCTGGCTTCGACACGGCGGAGACGGGCTCGGTGGCTGGCGGGGAACTGGTGTCGGTCCAGCAGGTGCAGCTGTCCAGGGACCTGCGGGTGCCATGTGTGCCTTCTGCCGTGCTGCCCCGGGCTGGTGCCATGTCCAGCCTCCTCCTGCCGGGGTGTCCCTTGGCACCATGTAGAGCCCACCATGTGCAACCCCATGTGAAGCCGCACTCGGTCTCCTGGGTCTCACCCGGGGCCCCGCCTCTTCATGCAGTGGCAGGAGCTCAACAGGAAGCCCAGAGTCACGCTGACATCCGGTAGCCCATGGACATGGTGAATCGGCGCACCTCCAATTCTGTTATTTTCTCAAGGAAGGCTATGCCCAGGGAATAGGCTTCTGGAAGACCAGGAGCCCTGGGAGATGCGAGAACACACTGTTAGACTCTCGGTCCATCCTGAAGAGTAAAATGTTCTAGAAGGCACGATTGTAGTTGGCTGGGTGACCTGGAACACAGGATCCCTCTACTAGATCAGATTGGCTGGTATTTGTAGAACATAAAAATTTTGGGAAGAAAGACAGAATGGGCTTTATGTTGGGAATGGGTTCAATATGGGTGTTATGCCTCACTGACAGTTCAAAAATCTGAAAACTTTGGAGATCAAAAAATGAAGGCCAGGTGTGGTGGTGCATGTTTGTTGTCCCAGTACTTGGGAGGCTGATGCAGGAGGATCACTGTTTGAGTCCAGCCTCCTGGCTCAAAAGAGAAGAACAACAACAAACCCATTTGGAAGTAAAACCTAATTGGAACTGAGTTTATAGGAGTCTTTTTTTTTCTTCTTCTTCTCGTTTTGTGGTGCTGGGGATGGTTGTGTATGCTGAACTAAACCCTTACCCCTTTGGATTTTAATTTGAGTCTCCTCAAGTTGCCTGGGTTGGCCTTGAACTTTTGATCCTCTGGAGTGGCCAGGATTACGTGCATGTACCGCTGCACCTGGCTGGGTTTTGATCCGTTCCTGGGCTGGTGACCTGTGGCCAGTCCTCTGTGATTGCAGGCAACAGCAGGGCAGCAGCCACTAGGTAGGCGGCAGCGCTCCATCCTCCGTGTGTGGGGCGGTGCCGAGCTGGGCAGCGGCCGGGCGGGGTGGGTCAGCGCATCTTCAGTTTAGATTTTCAGCTTGAGCGTGGGGTTTTAGGGACACAGTCTAGGCACGCCTGTGTGTGGCGGTGCAGCTCACACTGCCGTTGCCTGGGTCGTCTTTTAGAACAATGACTGTGGCCCCTGAGGTTGGGACGGGCTCTGGGGTTTTGCGTTTCTGAACAGCTTCTGTCTCTTCCTGCTCCTGGTCCATGTCAACGTCCTCCATGCTTGGAATCCTGTCCTGTTGTCTTTTTTCATCTTCCCTTAAAAATCAGACCTATCGAGGTATCATTTCTTTGTGGCAAAATTCATCCTTTTATGTGTAGCTCAGTGAGTTTCGACAAGTGCCTGTGATCATGTAGCCGCCCCCCAAATCAAGATATGGGAGAATTTTGTCACCCCAAACGATCCCTTAATGTCCTCTCAGCACCCTGGGCCCCCAGTTCCTCCAACCAGC